ACTAGGTATTGTGGCCTCGCGTATTCATATTTATTCTAAACCCGTGAAATCCACAGATCAGGAACCGTTTCGAGACGTGAATCCTTCACCGGTAATACGATTTCTCCTATTCAACGCGAGGACCTTGAACGATCCGTTTCGTTGTATCGCGAATGAAAAAAGGGAAGGCTTTGAAAGGCCACGGGAACTGAATTTCGACTGGAAAATTTCATTTTATCGGCGAAACGTGTCCGGTGCCCTGGTTTTACGAGCTCTCTTTCTCTCTCTCTCTCTCTTGCCGGGCTTTTTATAACGCGAGAGATGGATAAGAGTATCGACAGTTTGTAACACACAATATCAAGTAGGGATACGAAAGTGGAGCGAGCAGGAAGGGGGGGGGGGAAATCGCTGAAAACTTCTCTTCCCAACGGCCCCGGTGTCTTCGACGAAAGTTCCATTATCTGCTACGTGCTCCGCGTTATCGGCACAGGGAGGAACGGTGATCGACGAGCAACGATACGATCGATACCCACCTTTTTTTTCCCCACGAATTACACGTCAAGTTCGTTTCCACCGACGAGAGAATAATCGGTTTGAAGTGTTCATCTTGGCGGGAAATTCGAATTCTTTGAAAGGTGAAACTGAATGAGTGCCACCCCTGCTTCTTTAAACGCTCGTCACCACTCCCGAAATATGAGCTGTTAGAGAGGCCTTACTATATCTTTCATGATTATGTATTGGGTTCTGTTATTCAACAGATTCCTACAAAAAATTCCCCCTACTGTCAAAAATTATATTTTAAAATAATTGTTCGTAATTAATCACAAAGGCCAGTAAAAGTCATTTTTTTCCAGAAAGGCGAAAGTATTAGATCTGGTCCTGCTAGTTTTTATAACTTTACTTCAAAAGTGAATATATTAAATTGTTCATTATGTTTTAAGAACATGAACAAACTATTGTTCATGTTCTTAAAACACCAGCTTAAACAAGGGATCATGTATAATTAGTAATGGACTGATTATCGAAGTTATAAGTACACAGCTTAACAAGTGAATAATTACGCACTTTATGACGGAGATTTAGACGAACTCATTTTATCATAAAATAGCCGTGATAGTACGGACATTGAGGCGATGAACTGTTAAATTTATTTACACAAATCGAACGGTTCGTTTGGCGGCGAAAGACTGACCAGGAGAGCGTTTAAAATCAGCCGAACGACATAAATCACTCGAACGAGTAAATACAGGGTGGGGACAGAACTTGTGGTGCAACCGGTGATTTCCTCGTGAAAAAAAAGAAGAAAATAACTCGAAAATGCAGAATAAATTTGGTTCATACGAGACTTTAATTCCGAGAAGATTGAATTTCAAATATTTCCCGGTACGCGTGCTTTTGCATACGAACGTGCCCGTCTATTACTGGCAGTTTCTACTTACAACAACCACTTACAGTCCTGAGGTATTATCTGTTTTCCATTTACGAAATTACGGGTTACATCACGAATGTATTTGAACGACAATTCATTAAATAACAATTAAATACCAATAATAGCAATAATATATAAAACAGCCAACAATTTTTTATGATCACTTACAATCCTCGGGTATTATTTTCCATTAGTGAAAGTACGTGTTAAATCGCAAAATAAGTCGCTAAATAATATTTAAATACCAACAGTAATAATAATATATCGATCAACCAACAATTGTTTTTGCATTTATCGAATATTACAATTCGCCTGTCCAATTATAATTGACAATTATAAATAAATATTTATTGTAAAGTATCTTGAACTGTTTTAAATTCGTAAATCTTATCCAACTGTTAATTTATGACAAACTGTTGTAAAATATCCAGTCATCGTTTGCAGCCATCGATTGAAGTAGAAGTAGGCAGTAATGCTCAGACGTGTGAGATAACAAGTGCTTACGCCTACAGACTCCGAACGAATAATATGTAAAAAAAGGCACCAGGTAATTCCTTATGAGAAAATAAGAAAGAAAAAAAAGAATAAAATTCTGTAATTCTCGACTTCGTTTTCGAGAAAATCTACTCTGAAAATTAATCTGAAATGCGTGTATTCATATTAGTAAGTAGAAACGGAATACAATGACCAGACACGCTAGCCAGCAGATGTTCAAACTCAATTTTCTGGAAAACTAAGCCGTGAATAACAAAATTTTATTCTATACTTTTCTCTTATATTTTCATAAAGAATCACGTGGTATCCCCGCTTTTACATATTATTCGGCCAGACCCTGCATACAGGAGAAAATTTTATTACACATCTGACTTCGAAATTTTCACGAAAAATCAGTAATGGTTCATTCTCGTCCTCTATTTATTTATTTACTTGTCGATCCTCCGTCGAGAAAATGCCTATTTTTTTTTAACGAAGGGCGATTTTGGGACACGGGACTCGCCCGGAATATTGAAATACTTTTTCCACGGCGGATTCCGGCCTGGGACAAGTTCCCGAACTTCCAGGGGAGTTTCGTCGCGCTCCGGCTCGTTGAAATTAAAATTGCCCGAACAGCGAAGTTTCGCGGCAGGAACGGGAGAAGGAAGAGGGCTCCACCGAAGGGAAATACAATCCCTTTGGGAGTCTCCTCCGCGCGCCGGCAGTGGATTCCAAAACGATTACCCCCATGATTTGATTAGAACCACATGAAATTGATACCGAAGCGCGGAAACTCTATTATGGTCGGACACGTGGCTCGTTTCCCTCGAATTTGAAATTTAACTAGGACGGAACTTTGAGTTCCGTTGAGTCCCAGTAACTACACAACAGTGGTTGCACGAGGTACATAAACTACCGTGTAGAAATATCGCGGACACTTATATTATGGTGCAAATCTGTAAAATATTCCATGAATATTTGTATATATTTTTTACACATGTCTGTATTAATTTTTATAATTATTCCTCATCAAAAGTAAATATATTAAATTATTATAGAGAAATATTTGTGATATTTATTAACAGATAATCTCTCTTAACCCTCGAGGATAAAGAGAGTTCGTACTGAAAATGATGAAGACGAGACCAGTGGGGTCGAACAAATTGCGTTTAATCCACCTGTATCGCGATTCGATGTAACAACGGTAATAAAAATCTCGTTATCCGATTTCGCCTAAGCTTGTAGCCAGGAATGGAACTTTCGTTTTAGAAGTTCCTCCGCTTTCAACTAACTTTGGTCAGACCACAATGAACTCTGCGTCCGGTGGGCTTCAATTAGACGCGTCGGTGTTCTAATCAACTCCTCTCTTGAATCATTGACGTCTTAATCTTCCCGAAATAGAAAAGCCCGATGCGCGAACGGCTCGCGCCGCGAGTTCCAACGGGTAGAAAAGACCGCCCCCCGATATCAGACGCCGTAAATGTACCAGGCAGTAAAATGAAATTGGCTTCGATTAAACTGTACGTATGAACTTTCGCGAGGGTGGAACCCGCCGGAACGCGGACACTTTACGAGAGAAACATGTCGCCTCTCCCTCTCGCTCTTTCTTTACGTGCCGTTCGTTAGCAGCGTGAAAATAGTTAAGTCTTGGACAGAGTTCGCGTTGGGATCAACCGTGTCCCCAGGTCGTATGAAAACTTAATGTACGATGAAATTTTTCCTAAAATAGCATAACTTTGTAAAAAGAAAAACAGAAGAATCTACAGGATGATATAAAGAAAAGGGTTCGTAACTTCTAGGGTAGATAGTACTTGCCAAATGATGAAAAAAAGGTCCTAATAAATATGGGTTGAATAATTAATATGTTCTAAGTTATAAACAATTTTCTGTATCGGTTAAAACGACTGACTTTTCGTTTCGGGAGCTATCGTATGGAAACAATGGATTATCTTATCATTTCTTCTTTTTTCTTTTTAATTCGCGAAACAATACTGTACTTCGCGGACACACGAAATACACGATTTACCTCAAACCGTGTTCCAGGAATCCAACGAGAAACGTTCGCTCAGATACCAAGTTAATTAATATTCGCGGGTGTATACATATAACTCGACCCCCCTAGGCTCGGTGTAAACATTTATATTCCCTGTGTCTCGCGACACGTTAAAATTAATCACATCCTCAAGCAAAACCGACGTGGGTGTTGCGTCACGATGCAAACACGCGCACCCGCGTCCACCCGATGCAATTAGTATGCAAACCCGTAAAATTGTCCTCGGTCAGTCCCTCCCTTGATTCTTATCGTTATTAACATCAAAAATATCCGCAACATTTATCACCGCACGAACAACATATCTCACAACCGCGTGCTCTGTACGTCGCAGGCGTGACCATTAGTTTCAACACTCCACGATCGACAACAATCGAGCGCAACACGCAACAACTCAGAAGAAAAGGAATTCAGAACAGAGACGACACGGGCGGAAAAAAAATAGCACAGAAAACGCGACGACAAAAGAAATTAAAAAAGGCAACATCGATAGAAACAGAGAAAAAACGGACACAAAAGCACATCGAATGTAAGACAGGCATGTGTGTGTGTGTGTACAGGATGAACCACGAATCGTGATCAGTAGAGATTGCTCTGTTATCAGCAGTCAGATGGAAAATGTTTTTATCAGGTATAGCATAGTTTCAAAAGAGCTTTAACGTAATTATAGCTAATTTAAAAACTCTTTTTTTTTCATGATTTTTCAAAGTCACCCTCAATTTTCTACAAAAAATTCAATTAAAAGAAAAATTAATACATGTTGTTATAATACTTACCGAATTCGTCTTGAAATCCTCTAACAGAAAGGCGAAAGAAAATTATAGGTGCATTTGCAAAGAATTAAAGGTGACCTAGAAGAATCATGAAAAAAAAAAAGAGTTGACAAAAAATGTGCTATAATCACGTTAATGCTATACCTGATAAAAACATTTTCGATCGGACTGCCAATAACAGAGTGATACCTACTGATCACGATTCGTGGTTCACCCTGTATATCGGTGGGCGAACATTTAAAATATTCAAAGTATTCGGAACAAGGGACTTGTTCCATTCACCAGACGTACCCACCCTCTTGTAGGTCGAGCCTCGGTGCCTGGCAGCAGAGCAGTGTACCTCGTCTGCGCCTCGGTAGGCAGAACGAACACTGACGCGGCGCGGTCCCGTTTCAACTCCGGAACGGTCAGAAATATATCTCTGACCACGAACTTGCACTTGCTGGACGCAACGTTATCGTCCTCGTCGTCGTCGTCGTCGTCATCCGCCTTATCCTCGTCCTCGGTCGAACTGACTACCGTGGGCAGCTCGACGGGATACGAGGTCAGTGCCTCCTGTCGGGCCAATTTCGGGGAAGCGATCGACCTTCTCCGTTCACGGCCCGGAAACAGACCGCCCCTGATCTCGCAGCTGGTGTCCGCATCCTCTTGCGATGCAACGTCCGATACGATTTCCGGTAGCACTGGGGGCGGTAGAACGGGTGGTTCGTCGAGGACGAGCCTTTCCGTGAACGTGGCCAGAGTGACACGTATCTCCGGGCTGCCCTCGCTTTTGTGCTCCAGTTCGGAGTCTTCATCGTCCGAGGTGTCATCCGCTTGGTCCGGCAAGTCGTCCTCCCTCGACGAAGGATCGTCGTCCTCCCTGCTCGAGTAAAGTCTCTTGTACTCTTCGACGCAGGCACAGTGGTAGCATCCAGATACTTGAATGGTCGGTGTCTCGGGACGACGAACGCTACCGAGGGACTGTTGGCTGGAGGACGATCCATAGCTTCTTTCGCAGACGTCGAAGCTCTTGGATCGTTGAGTACTTTGCAGATAAGGTACTCTAAGGGTCGCGGATCGCCGTCCACGCGAGGAATCCTGCGATCTGGCCGGCGAACAAGAGGACGACGAGGAGGAGGTCGTTCTGGTTGACCTGGAGTCCCTGACGTCGTCCTGGCGTTTAACTTCTAATTGAATCTCGTCGAAAGAGGCCGATCTCACCTGCTTCGGCACCTCCAGACTCGACTGAGACTTCATCTCGGCTCCCGTTGGGGTACGCGACCTCTTGAAGGTCGAGCGCAACCTCTGCATTCTCACTTGGCAGCTATCTATTCGACTTTAGCTCGTTCTTGCAGTAGGACAGATCGAACACGTTTGCCCAATGGGATCGTAACCTTGCCAGCTCCTCCTCCTCCTCTTCCTCCTCCGTTTCTCCTACGCCGCTCGAACCTCGATCCTCTCGTTTCTGTACGTACGTGGTCTCGGTGGGTAGCTCGATCACCTCGGTACACCTTGGCAACGAGGAAGCCGACTCGAGCTGCCCGCGACCGCACCCTTCCTCCACCTTCGTCTTAGCTGCCGGTTTGCAGCCCATCATAAGTAACCTCTCGACGGTTCGTCCTTCGGCTTCCGCGCCTTCGATTTACCAAGACCGTTTTTTTACGTCCGCAAAGGGAATCGTTCTCGAACTGAATACGTATGCTTTTTCTGTGGTGTAGCCGTGAAGTCTGCAATGTGATTCCCTCGAATTTTCTTGGGAGGATATCTTAGGCTACTATTGGGGATGGATATGATTTACTTCACGATTGATGCACGTTGGTCTCTCGTTAAGATTCAGAAGATATCACTGTCTGAACATTCTTGATTGTCTAGGGCTTGAAATAAGTTAAGGGTAATCATCGAAATAGTTCGCAAAGATCTAAACAGTCTACCCTGTTTTCGGGTCCTGTGATTTACACACCTTCATCTCTTCACTAATAATGTTAACAAGTTTATATATATATTTAATTTCACCGGTGTCACATTCGCTAAAACGTTTGGGATTGTTCTCGAGTCTCTCGATGCCTGTATTTTATTAACAAACACAACGCGAGATTACCGCCAGGACGATTCACTCCGTGGACGAAATGTTGGAAGTTACCTCCCGAGTCACTATACTCCCATTACACGGATTAATTAATATTTGTAATTTACGAAAACGTGACGCAGAACACGAGCCGCAATACGTCTTATATAGTCGCCATCCCCCACCCCATCGGCGGCCGGTTGGGATCTATTTGCTAAAATTACATTCCGATCCGGGACACATCCGACGCCACGTGGAGAATGACGTCCTCGATCCGGGCGGAGTATTTGCAATTTAAGCCCCTTTTCCCGGCCGACGGAATTTCCTCATCGCCGCCTTCGATGATCACACTTTCGCAAATTAAACGCAACCCAACCTCCACACCGTGCGCACCCAGAAAGATGAAATTTATTCGAGGCTATCCTCCTTAATCGTCACGCTCCCAGCTCCGTATAATTTTATCTCTCCTCCCATCCCATTCAACACGTGGGACACACCGTGTCTTCTAGAGTGCACACGATGCTGCTTCCGAGGCGAATCGCCCCGAAACGATCCGTTTCCTTGGCAATTTCCCTAGACCGGATGAAAATACGCCCCGAGTAACGTCATCCAACGGATTAACAGGAAGACCAAGCTGTGTTCCCACGTTTCGATCATCATCAAGGCGAACAGTTTGCTTCGGACGTCTTTACTCGCGCACAACAAAAGCACCAACGGTAACCGACCCACGAACACTGCAACGATTATTCTCCTCGAGCTGTTACACTGTAGATCCCTCAAAGACGAAACAATACCTTCAAGCCCAGTCGTTTACAAATTGCCACGAGTGTACACTGATCGTATGGTCTTCAAAGAACAAGGATTATCTTCTCACAGCCCAGTGATCATAACATCAGACACGTTAACAATTAACAGTTTATTCTATTGGTGCGTCAATATTATTAAAAGATATCGATCAAAGCCTGACAAGTATTCGATCCCAAACAGCTGTAAAACCCACCGTTTTATGTCTCTTTCTCTCTCTCTCTCTCCCTGTGACTTCTGAAAGGCCAGCCAGGCCAATTAGACGGTAGGAAGTTAATTGGGTCAGCCTCCCGAGAGATCTCTAATCCCTAACCCCCGACGGTTAAGCTTCGTCACGAACCTCGCACACGATTCACCAAACAGTTCCGTGGATGATCGCTTTAATCGTTCCACGAACTCCTGGATGCGGAAGTGCAATCCTCCCGTAAGGGTTGACAGACGCGAACGGCCGCGAACCGATCGTGCTCGACGACGCGTGAACCATAGTCGAAGGTCACGCGTCGCAACACCGTGTCCCCCAGCGAGAGGACACAAACCTCGACGGAAAAACACGTGATACGGTTAGGTGGTTCGTTCGAAACGCCACCCCACGCGTTCTATTGGGCTTCACTCTTCGTTTTCTCTGTCGGCCGCGGAGGAGACTCTCTTCTCTCGAGCAAGCACCAGCATCGATCCACGAGCTTTACCAGCCCCGTAACTTAATTCCCGAAGCGACGCGCATCGGCGATCCCCCGTCGATTGAAATCCCATAAAATATCGACGGTATGTATGTGTGTACATACGTGCATGTAGCGCTAGAACTACCTTCGTGTAACAAACACAGGCACCCCAGCCGCTCAGGTAATCTCCATTATCGCCGGCGTCGAAGTTCCGCCGGCACGCGGCGGGTAACCACCACGACCCCTGTTTCCTTTTAATCCTCGAACCGCGTGACACCGGAACCGCCGACACGAAACATTTCACCGATCTAGGGGCTTTTCTTCTTTATAAAGATCATTCGATCGGTAGGTGATCCAAGTTAAAATTTCGTTTTATCAATCATCTAGATCCAAGATCAGAATGAACCACGAGTAACACAATTCACGTGACGCCGTTCGAACCGGTCGCTAGGTAAACACCACACGAGGTGGCCACACTCTACTTGACGAGGTATCCTGTTGATCGATGGATCACCCCTAAGTCCAAGTCCTCGCGACGCGTGCACGCGGACCCCGTGTATCTCGCCTGCGAATGTTTAGAACCCCGTTTCTCTATCACCGTCGCGACTTTCTTCGCACGCTCTCTTTTTAGTTTACTTTTTTTCTCTCTCCCTCCAAGTCGAGCACGAGGGCGGTGGAGGGCGCACACAGAGACAGGTGGAAGGGAGACGGAGAGAAACAACAGAGCCGCACAGTTCCGCGGAACAACGGGACTAGGTGTACGCGTAACGGCGCCGTGAACAGGGGTTAGACTGGTCGGACTGGTGACCAGGGCTCGGCAGTGCCGGATGCCACGAGAGGCAAAGTGGGGGGTTAACACTGGGCTATCGTCCTCTTTCTCTGATCCTCGAGCTGTTCACCCTCTTGCTCGCTCGCGCCCTCCTAGCCGTCGTCGGTCAGACATGCGCCCTCCGCCACCGCCGACAGGTCCCACCGTCGTATGTGTGCGTGTTTCTCTCTGTGTGTCCTTCTTTCTATCTCTCTCTCTCTCTCTGTCACTCTGTCTGTGTGTGCTTGTGAATCGTGGATACACGGGCGGGTGGTAAAGCGAATGAGGAGGAACACCGATGCCACGGAACGACGACGACGACGAATTGGAGATTGCGCTACGTACCCCCTCCCGCCGACTCCAGCAGGGAAAACGCGTGACGCAAGGAAGGGCAGACACGTGTGGAGCCTCCTTCCATCCCTGTCTTACTCTCCCTCTATCCTCGAGTAAGGTGTACCCAGCCCCTCTACCTTTTTTCACTACCTTTTTTTTTCTTTCTAGCTCTATCCTCCCCAGCCCCCTTCGTCCACCAACTTGCCGTGTGTTTTTGTTTGGTACGGGGAATTTCAGAGACGATGCTGGCTTCCGGGTACACCTCGTGTCCAGATGGTAAAGGCGGGTTCGGAGAACGGAGGGAGAGAGGAGATTGCTGGGGCGGCTGGTTTTGCGGATGCTTGATTTCGGGTCTACGGGAACATTCTGAGGTAGCTACGTGGTTCATGTCCGGTGCGGTCAACCTTCTGACCTGAGATCCACATGACCCGTGGAAATTTTCTGTCGCTCGAGTGAGGGGAGTTTATTGTGGCTACGCACTCGGATCGGGAATTTCTGATCGCGATGATGCTTGGAATACAGTACTTGTTATATATTAATGGAGATGATGTTTCTGTTTTTATGGATCTCTATTGATGGAAGTAAGTAAACTGTGGATGTGTTTATGGGGATATCAGTGGATGCATACTTTATCATCTTTTTGGCAATATTTGAAACATTTCTTGACGATCGACAGTATGAAACTTCTTTAAATGACATTCAAACATTAGAAAAATGGATTTGCTGTGACTACTAGTTCGCAATTTTTTTTAAATGTTTTAAAAAGTATTACGTTAAGAAATATGATTTACATTTAATTCTCGCCTCTGCAAAGATAGCCTCAAAAAAAAAACTTGTGGATTATTTAGATCGTTAAGATGTACAAGAGACAGTGAACTACTAAGTTTTTAAATTGGAACATATCTTAAAGGTATTCTTCTATAATAATTCATCGATTGTTTTTCACATTAATAGATTCTACCTGTTGAATCATTGACTCAAACAATGATATTAATGATACTTCAGCGGACTTATCTGTTCAGTAATAAACTCCTGTAGGTTTCATAAAATCCAACGAGTTAGAAAATTCTGTCGTAGTGCAACCGGAAAAGAACAAATTTGAGAAAACCAATTCTGAAAACCAGTCCAATACGATCTGATTACATTATCGGCCCACTACTCACTATTTCCACTTATATCAATGATTATAAACATCGAAGTCACATAAAACACACCAATACCAACGGAAACCAAATAACACCGCACCACCTTTGATGTTCGCTGCAAGTAGAAACAACAAGCAATGGGCAGACACGTCAGCCAAGTTGCACTCAATCATCGTACGCGTGCTCGCGGAACCTTCAAATAAACAAAACAATACTGTATTCCATCACCTTTTCCATTCAAGTCTCACGAATAATTGATTCGTTGCACTACAATTTCCATTAAACTCTGTATAAGTGGTTCGATAAATCTTTAATCAGACAACCTGGTTTCCAGGTTTCGCAGAAGTTCTTCCAGCCAACAATCAGAGTCCGTAAAAAATATCCAACGAAAAAACATGCATTTGATTGGTTAGAGAAAAATGTAAATAAAAATAAAAATTGATAGCCGAAGGAATATCACTGATTTATAATAATTTTAGGTTAAACAATGATCTTGA